AAAAAAAAAAAGAATTGTGTTAGTATTAAAATATTACAGATATTGGATTTTGAAACAAGTTTGTTTTTTCTTTGTTTGGCCATATTACTGTCTGTCCTGCCCACTTAAAAACTGGACTTGGAAGGTATACCTCAACAAGTAGGTATTACAGTGAATGTTCTGCCATGACCTAATTTGTTTTGAGTTCTGTGCCACTCAGCAAATACGCGATACATAGTATCAGGCACTATGCTAGGAGTTGAGTAGTACACGAGGCATGGTCTTTGCTGTCTAGCCATGTACTGGAGAGACATGGGAGTGTTTATATGTAATAGCACGTAATTCCGGAACCACTTCAATGGTGTCCGTGCAGGGGCTAATGAAAGCTCAGTCAGGAAAGAGGCTCTAAGAGTGCTGGGTGTGGTGGGTCATTTCCGGGTGTGTGTGTGGGGGGGGGGTGTGAAGGGATAGGTGCCTACCAGACAAAGAGGGGAAAGGGCGTTTCACATAGCAGAAATGGCTTGAGCAAAGGCAGGGATTGGGAAACAGCTGAGAAGTGGTTTTGTGTTGCCAGTTGGCCAGTTGCAACAGGAGAGTGAGTGAAAAATGGGAAGCTTATCACGGCTCAGATAGCACTGGGATTTTCTTAGCTTGCTGAAAATTTGCATTTTGCCACCTAGGCAGGGTAAAATCTTCAAAAACAGGAGGTAGGATTGGATCTGCCTTTGGACAGGCGGCTGTGGAGTGTATTAGAGTGTGTGGCTGTATTGGTTTGAAATTCTGTTACCACTCACTAGGCACTTTGGAGTTTGTTATTGTTCGATGTTCTATTTGTTTTAACCTGACCTGAGTTCAGTGGTCAGAACCCATGTAAAAAGCCAGATTTGGCCAGTTAGCCTGGAAAAACACAGCACAGTGGCAGAAAGAGATGTATGTCTGCAAGGTGGAAGGAGAGAAATGTTTTCTAAAAAGTTGTTTATTGACCTCCCACAGCATTCCACATGCACACACACACACACTCCTAATTAATTAGTTGATTAAGGAAAACCTGTTTTCAGCATTGAAAGTAGCAGGAGTAACTAACATTTATACATTGTGGTTTGTGTGTGTGTGTGTTCGCGTGTGCACGTGCATGAATTTCAGAGACTGCATTTCATTTTAATTAGATGTTTGCTCATAATTTGGGTGGTGTCAGAGGTTGGGTTCTTGAGAAGCTGAGATATCAATTATCACACCAGACACACCTGTGGAGAGGAGGGGCAGGACACAGGATTGGGAAGAGGGAGGGGCTGAGGGCCACTGACACTTCCGCCAACTACCCAGGGAGCTTTGGAGAGTTGGGAAGTAGATTGGGGGCTTTCCGTCAACCCCCTCCTGTTGTTGTCAAATAATTGGTTTCTGCCGGCCCCTACTCTTGATAGAAAGCAGGTCCTGGGGCAAGGTGGTGTTCTGTAGCAGCTGTGAGCCTGTGGGTCTTCTTTTGGCAGCACTGACAGCCACTGGGGCAGTGAGTTCTTCATTCCTAATGAGATGCCTGGTTCAAGCATCACAGTGTGTACATCACAGAAGGCGAATTGCAAAACCTTAGAGCCTTTGTAGAACAAGATTCCCAGCATTCAGACAGGGATGACTTGTGGACCACCAGATTCTGGCCTGGAACTTGCATTAGTTTTCTTGCTTTTGCCTCCCAAATGTTGGGATTACAGATGCTTTGAAAATGTGTGTGTGTGTGTGTGTGTGTGTGTGTGTGTGTGTGTGTATGTTTAAGGACAACTTTGTGGAGTCGATTCTCTTCTTCGACCTTGATGTAGGTTCTGGGAACTGAACTGGTGGTTATGTTTACATCCTCAAGTGGGAAGAGCCTTTAACCCTGAGCTTGACGTTCCAGTTTAATGAGGGCTATTTGGCTTAATTTCTAGATATGTTGTTACACTTGAGTATGAATTCAACAGTATAATGAGCCAGGCAGTGGTGGCACACGCCTTCAATCCCAGCACTAGGGAGGCAGGCGGATCCCTGTGAGTTCAAGGCCAGTCTGGTCAATAGTGAGTCCCAACACAGCCAGAGCTGTTACAGGGAGAAACCCTGTGTCCAGAAAATAAAAAAAAAAATATAAATAAAAACAAACAAAAAGTCTATAATGAAAAATATGATGCAAAGTGATAGTATTAGAAATAACTTATAGATCATTGAATCTTGACTTAAGAGTAGCATCTGAGGGGCCGGAGAGATGGCTTGGAGCCCAAGAGTACTTGCTGCTCTTGCAAAGGATCCAGATTCCATTCTCAGATAACCAACTCAGAGGCTGAATTATAATGAATTGTAAATGCTGGGCTGATAGCTTGGGCTTGTTACTAGCTCTTACATTTAGATTAACCTATATTCCTTATTTACACTCTGCCATGTGGCAGTACCTTTTCTCAGTCCCGAGTGCCCATTTTGCTCTCTCTGCATCTGGCTGGAGACTTCCTCGACTCCCCTGACTCTGCACTTCCTTCCATCATTCTCAGTTTGGCTCTCCTATTGGCCAGTCAGCTTGTTTATTAAACCAGTCATAGTGACGTATGCATACAGTGTGCACACAGCTGTCTGTAACTCTAGTTCCAGGGGATCTGATGCCTTCTGTCCTGTCACAGTACACTCATATCCGTGGAGGCAAAACACTCATCTGTCTGAGATGTCGTTTATTAAGGAGTGCTCTTGGGATCGATCCACAGGTGTGGAAAGGAGAAGGGTATGAGGCCTGGCAGAGGGAGAGTTGCCCACTTTACAGGGAGATTTGAACCAGGAATCCTTCAGAGTCCCCCCAGATCTGGAGTTGGGAAGATGGATTAATCACCTGTAAACCCAGCCCTTGGGAAGTAAGGACAGGATGATCAACAAGTTCAAGGCGGGTCTGGTTTACAGTGGGATCCTTTCTCAAAAACAAAACCCAGCCAAAAAAAGGTATCTGGGCTAATTGTCTGATTGAAATCAATACATATAAAGTATTCTGTAGACCTGACTGGGGGTGTGGCTGGGTAGTAACACACATGCCTGTAATGCATAGGGCCCTGTTTTGATCCGAAGCACTGCAGAAACAAAGAAAGTCCTTTAAACAGTGATGTCAGAGAGTGTGGAGAAAAACAAAGCTTTGGAGACCATCTAGTTTGAACTCTTACATTTCACATAAGGAATGAGACCTCAGAGGCTAAGAGACTATGTATTTAGTTCTGTGGGTATGTAAATAAAGGAGAGTGTACTTGGCTGCTACGGCCATGCTGGCACTGGATGTCTTTCTGCATTTATCTAGGGACTCTGACTTAGAGCTATAAATACAGTCTTTGTAAATTTGAACTTTGAAAACACAAAGGGGTGTGTGTGTGTGTAAGCACTAGCACAGCCCCCTATCCACAGAGTCCTCTGTCACTAGTTTGGGGACTTTAATGTGAACCCTGATAATTCCCCTGCTCCCGTGTTATTTAATTAGCTTCCTCATGTCTCTGCCCCAACAAACATTACCTTTTCTTTCTTTCTTCATTTGGCAAGTGTGTGATTCTGATGAGGTGATCTGAGCTCAGTTCTAGTCCTTTTCGTGGTCTCAACAGCCAATTATGTGATTTTGTACATCTGTCTTGTAGTCTCAGTTCCTTGTGTAAAATTCAGGTAATAACTCCTGTTATTAGCATGCTTGTTTCAAGGATCAAACAATGTTACATCTCTGAAAACACTTTTAGACACAGCTGATGTTCTACAAATGTCAAGTAGTGGTTTTACCCTCATTACCCATCCTTCCTTCCCCTGCCTGACTTGCCTCCAGCTGGCTGGCTTCCTTCCAGGATTGTTTGCACAAGTGGCTGCAGTGTTTTTTGGAGTTTTCTCTGAACCATGAAATGTCATTCTGCAAACTGCCTTTTGACCAGTAGGAATGTAATTAAGTGTATTGGGAGCCATAGAGGAAGCCACTAAAAAAAAGAAAAAAAAAGTTGTATTTGAAAGGGATTTTTCATTTCCATTGATAGAAGGAGTACTGTCCTGATCACCATTGTAACAGAACACTGGCCAGTGAATCGAGATCTTAAGCCCCGCCCCCTGATCTCCAGGCAAGCTTTATTTGCCAGAACACAAAGAAAATAAAGAAAACATCACAACAAGCCAGCTTGACTCTCCCTTCACCTTGTGCTCTCAGCCTCATCTCCTGGCTCTGTTCTTCCTTCTCTGTGGCAACCCTGTCTCCTGATGGCGACCCTCTCTTTTTCTTCCCAGGCTCTTTGGTACAAGGCAGCGGTTCAGTGTACAGTTCTAACACAGACGTGCAAGTTGCTGAGAATAACCGTGAGTGGGGCGGAGCTGTGGAGGGCATGGGGTGGGGTTTGGGAGGACATAGCTTGTGGTTTGGGGCTACTTCTTTATCCCTCTCTCTCATCTTGATCCTGTCTGCAGCCATCACGTTGTCCTGTACCTACTCTGGCTTCTCCAATCCCAGAGTGGAGTGGAAGTTCGTCCAAGGTGGCACTACCACGCTTGTTTGCTATAACAGCCAGATCACAGGTAAATTGTCTTAATTGCCAAATCAGATTGTGGCGTCATTGACACTGCCCTGCCTGAATTCCTGAGGTGGGGGCACACCTGGAGCTCAAGGCTCTAAGTACTTCCTTCCCTTTAGTGGAGGATGATGTACCCTGGGTGCCACCTTCATCTTCTCTTTGCTGTCCAGTTTACGTTGTCTCTTCTGCTTCTCTCTCTCCTGGTAGCTTCCTATGCAGACCGAGTTACCTTCTCGTCCAGTGGCATCACATTCAAATCTGTGACCCGGAAAGACACCGGAGAGTATACTTGTATGGTCTCTGAGGACGGTGGCCAGAACTATGGGGAGGTCAGCATCCAACTCACCGTGCTTGGTATGTGCCATGTAACCTCATGTGGGCTGAAAACCAGTCGCTTCCCTAACCCTGATAGTAGACTGCTAAGCTTTAGGTCTTTTGGGTGCTGGGGATATAGAGGGGGTAAGCACCCCATCCCCTCCCCCACTGCCCCTTTGATGGGAACTCAGGGCATACAGGTGGCACCTCTAGCTGATTGCTTGAGAGTGTCACCCTAGGTTGTTACCTACACTAGTAGGTAACCCTTTTGCCCTTGTATTCAGCACCTTTTCTTTTCCCCTTCCCTAGTGCCTCCATCCAAGCCGACGGTCAATATCCCCTCCTCTCTCACCATTGGGAACAGGGCAGTGCTGACCTGTTCAGAACAAGATGGCTCCCCGCCTTCTGAGTATTCCTGGTACAGGGATGGGATTGATATGCTTACGGATGCCAAGAAAACCCGTGCCTTCGTCAATTCTTCGTACACGGTTAATCCAAAGACAGGGGACCTGGTACGAAAGGGGAGAGGTGAAAGGGGAGTCATGGCCATAGAACCCCTGAGAGTGGGGAAGGAAGAAACATCAGGGCTGATGGTGTCAGAGAACTAACAGGATAGGTTTCTTGACTCATTCGAGCAAGAAGCTAGCTTATTCTCTTCCCTCTAGATCTTTGATCCTGTGACAGCCTTTGACAGCGGCGAATACTACTGTCAAGCCCAGAATGGGTTTGGGACAGCCACGAGGTCAGAGGCTGTACGCATGGATGCTGGTGAGTACAAGTGTGGCTGCAGCCTGAGATTGATCAGAGGCTGATTTTTAAGTGGTTGTTGACCTCATTGTCAGCAGCACAGTGCGTATCCAGACACCTGACCTCTCATCTGTGTCCACAGTGGAGCTGAATGTGGGGGGCATCGTGGCAGCTGTCCTGGTAACACTGATTCTCCTTGGATTCTTGATTTTTGGCATCTGGTTCGCCTATAGCCGAGGATACTTTGAAAGTAAGTGTTTCCCCCTTAGAAGCTTGTTTATTTGGGATATCCCAGGCTGGCCTGAAACTTGGCCTTCCAACTCACCGTGATCCTCCTACCTCAGCCGTTTAAGTGCCAAGCAGAGTAGCAAGTGCTACTTTTACTGTACCCAGCTGGGAGTTCTTTGTCCTTGCATGGTTTGTGGGTGCCATCTGAGTATGGATCCTGATACCATGTTCCATGTGCTGGGAGCATGGGTAACTTGATTTAGCTCATATCAAAAACCACAGACTACTTGCCCCTAGTTCCCATGCCATGCTGCATTCTATTCTGATAGTAACATGGCCTCTTTCTCTTGCTTTTCTTTTTCAGGAGCAAAGAAAGGGTGAGCATGATGCCGTCCCTGGGCTCTTTCATCAAAGCATGGATCTGTGTGATTTGGAGCTGAGCTGAGCCCTGGGTGTGGAGTGGGGTGGGGGAGTGAGGTGGAAGCAGTGGTTTTGGAGGAATGATAACTTCACCTTGCACTCAGTTTGTCTGCAAAGTTTTACATTCTGGTCCCTTACGTTGGCAAGGATACATTCATTGCTAGGGCCTGAGTGTCTCCCATTTCTGGTTTTCCCTCAGGACTGCTCCAGGTAAAAAGGTGATTTACAGCCAGCCAAGTGCTCGAAGTGAGGTGAGAGTGTGTGTGTGTCCCCCCCCCCCAAGAGTGGGGAGGCCTTCCACATCAAGTAGAAGTTTCTAGCCTATTTGTGTATTGATGAGCAAAATGAGACTAGAGTTGACTGGATGTTTTGTTTCCCTAGGGGGAATTCAAACAGACCTCATCATTCCTGGTGTGACTTGCTGCGGCTCGTCTCTGCTCCGCTTGCCTTACTCAGGTGCTACAGGGTCCGGCCCCTGCTGGCTGTAGCTGCACAGGATGCCTTCAGTGTCTTCTAGGCCCCACGGGACCCCTTACTTTTATTTTAGCTAGGATATGATTTCAATAACGTCAGCTATTTTTCCTTTGTTTTTCCTGCCCACCACCACTGGGTGGCCTGAGGTTAGTTACAAAGTTTCACTCCCTGTTCCTCTGTGGGATTGGACGAGAGTCCTAGACTAGACATCAAAAATGACCGGATTGAATAACGACTTTAAGCCTAATTGCCCAGCTTTCTCCTGCCCTGATGAGGTTGGGTGCCAGCTGCTCTGGAGTGGGGACTGGAGAAAGGAGGGGCTGAATTGTTTGGTGGTGACCTCAGCTCTTCAGTCTCTGGAGCCTTCTGTCCCCACAAAATGTGCCACTGGGGTTCTCCTGGATATAAGCAAACTGACACCTCATCCTCAGGAGGTGGGAGAGTTTAGTGATCAACCAAGACACTTGGAGTAAGGCAGATTTAAACTGCTGATCTAAAGAAAAGGTTGGGACTGGTGGCCGGCAGTCACTCTTCCCTTGGCTGGAACAACTGCACAGACCCTTGTAAGATATGTGTGGGTTGTGGAAATGTGTGCATTATAAGTGTGGGGGTGGGGTGTTGGGATGTGAGTGGGGGAAAAAGAGAGAAAGAGAGAGAGAGAGAGAGAGAGAGAGAGAGAGAGAGAGAGAGAGAAGTTCATTGGTTGTTATACAGAAGGGCTTCCCAGCTCTTTGGCAAGGTTGTGTTTCTGTGTGTTTATATTAGACAGTTGTTGTTGGAAATAAAAATTTGGTTTGTGAAACTTGTTTTTGTTGGAAATTGGGGAATGGGATCTTTAAAAGGGACTCTGGGCTCCTTTGTGTAAACAGGGAAATGTCGGAAAGTTCTGTTTCCCAACAACTTGTGGCTGGCCCCCAGGACTATTTTCTAAGCTCAGGGCAACACTTCTGCAGTGAGAACTGAGTGCACAGCCTCCTGCTGCCAGGGTGAAGCTGGTGCTGTGCTGGGGGGGGGGAGTGGGTGGGCTCTACTTGGCCATAGTCAAGTGGGGGCAGAAAGTGCCCATCTACTGTTGAGCCCTGGATGTTTAATGGACACCCCTAAGGCTTCTAACCGGGGTTCCCTGGTCATGTGAAGAACTACTTTAAATGTTTGAGACAGCAGGAATTAGCAGCAAGATGGGTCTGGTAGTCATTGCTTTCTTCCATTTGGGCCCCTTCCAGCCTTTGGAAACTAAGTACTCACTTAAGGGTCTTGTCAGAGGAAATAAAATCCAGTTGAACAATAAATGCAAAACTTGAAACAGCTCAGTAAGGATAAGACCTTTTCAAACATGTTTCAGTTTGTTGTCATGGTTGGGGGTGGGGTGGCAGGAGGGTAAAGACAGATTAAAGGACCCAAGGTGATTTATTGCCCCTTCACCCCTTGAGATAAATAATTCTCTCAGGGGCTTTTGATGACGGGAATCAGTTAACACTCTTGGAGTTCACCTCTCCTGGTTACAACATCCCTTGGAAATGACATGTCTGCTTTCATTTTATAGTGTCAAAACTTAATATTTGTAATAAATGTCTATTTTTCACATTGATTTTGTTTAAATCCTGAAATTCCTCAGTACGAGAATTGGGACTCCTGGACTGGAGCTAAAGCTAAGTTAGTGAAGGGCTTGCCTGGCATGCCTGAAGCCCTGGGTTGGATCCCCAACACTGCATAAAATCAGGTGTGGTTGTGCACACTTGAGATCCCAGCCTTTGAGAGGCAGAGGCCGGAGGATCACAAGTTCAAGGTCTTTCTCAGCTACACAGCAAGTTTGAAGCCAGCCTGGGCTACTTGAGACATTTTCTCAAAACAAAACAGCCTAAAAATGAAAGGTGAAAGAAATAATTGGGACTCCAAAAGTGACTTGAACATCTAAAATTTTCCTGAAAGTCCTGTAATTTAAATTAGGGATGTCTGTTCATCTGTCTCTTCTTCGAAACATTAGTTTTCTTAATTTTAAATTATGTATATGTGTGTGGGTATATCAGGTGCCAAGGAGGACACAGGAGGGCATTGGATTCCCTTGACCTTGACTTGGAGGCAGTGTGGTTGCTGGGAACTAGAGGTTCTGTGGAAGGAACAGCAAGTGCTCTTAGCCTGCTGAGCCATCTCTAATAGCTACATTAAAACAGATACATTTTAATTTAGCTTTTTAAAAAAGGCTTGTCCTTACATGAGAATGACCTAGAAATTGCTGCTATATTAAAGATTTTGGGAATGGGGGATGGGCTAATCCCAAGAATGTTGTTTCCATGAGATAGGTACTTACTCTGGTATGAAACAACAGAAAGTTAAGGATAACGCTGTAACATGGGGCATGCGTGGGCACTCTGGCCTCCACTGTGGGCTTTCTGGAAAAGCCTTAGGGGGTCTTGGGAGCAGGCCAACTGGGAATTAAACAAAGCATTCCTGGTAAAAAAACAAAAACCAATAATGTTAAGGATACATTTATCCTTTTTTTTTTTGGCTGGGGGTGTTTTTGTTTGGCTTGTTTTCGAAACAAGATTTCTCTAGCTTTTGGAGCCTATCTTTGTAGACCAACCAGGCTGGCATCAAACTCGCAGAGATCTGCCTGCCTCTGTCTATGGAGTGCTGGGATTAAATGTGTGCATGACCACCACTGCCCAGGTGCCCCCCCCCTTTTTTTTTGTCAAGTTGTGCTTTGGTGTGCCCAATACTGGTGAAGGGTTGGCTCGGGTACTCCACCTGCGGCCTGTGGTGAGGGTTGAGGAAAGGCCTGCCCTAGCCAGCCACATGGTGTGGAGCAGAGCTGTTGCCTCCTGGCCCTGGGCTAGAGTCCCCAGGTGACTCCTGGTTAAATCCTGTTGATAGTGAATTCCAGCTTTCTTACAGTGCCCAAGGGTGTCACCACCCACAACAGGCTGGGCCCTCCCCCTCCCCCATCAACCGCTAGTTAAGAAAATGCTCTGCAGGTTGATCCACAGCCTGATCTCATGGAATCATTTCTCAATTGAGGTTTCCTCCTCTCAGGTGGCTGTAGTTTGTGTCAAGCTGACATAAATGCAGCCAGCACAGTAATCTATAAAAAGCTCTTTAAATTCTTAAGCTTCTCCACTATATTTATTACCCCTTCTCTGGCTTTGGTTGTGAAACTCCAGTATGAAATGGAAAGTTTCTTTTTTTTTTTTTCTTTTTCAAGACAAACTGGTTTTCTTAATTTATGTAGATAAGATCTTTGCGTATGTGTGCATGTGTACCTCGTGCCCATGAAAGCCAGAACAGGGTGTCGGATACTCTGGAACAGAAGTTACAGACGGTTGTGAGATGCATTATGGGAAATAGACCTAGTCCTCTACAAGAGCAGCGGGTACTCTTCTGAGCCATCTTTCTAGCCTCCTCTCCACCCTCTCAAGTGTGCTGGGCGCGTGCATGCGTGTGTGTGTGCGCACACACACACACACACACACACACACACACACACACACACACACACACACGGTTTCCCTCTATAGCCCTGACAAAGCCTGGAACTTCCCCTGTAGACCAGTCTAGCTTTGAACTTGCATTGTTCCCTGACCTCTTAACTCTTGAGTGCTGGGACTACAGGCATCCACCACCATGCCTAGTAGAACCTTTTTTCAAACAAGAATTACGAGGTGTTATTACTAATTCATTTCACAGGCACAGAAAAGCCAAGGAACTTGCCTGAGTTGACACCCCTTTGTATCATCAACCCTGGGTGGAGGAGACACATAGCTAGAAGGAGACTTTGTGATAAAGATGGAAAACATGCCCATTGGCCTTTCCCCTAAGAGTTGATATAAATGGACCTGTAAGTCAGGAAACTAGGAGGGACCTTAAGGAAATAAAGGGTTGGGGGGATACAGCTCAGCTGGAAGAGCACTTGCCTGACAAGCTCAAGGTCCTGGGTTCGATCCCTAATACCTCAAGAACAAAGGCCAACAGCCAGTTGTGGCCCATCCCTGTACAGAGGTGGGAGGATTAGGAATTCAAGGTCTTTTTTCAGCTGCAATGAGTTGAGATCAGCCCAAGCTAAGTGAGACCATGCTAAAGTAAAGCCTGCCTAAGAAATAAATGGAATTGGTTGTTTCCTGTCCCAACTGCCTGTTCCCAAATATGCAGCAGCCACTTCCCAAATTACTACACAAAGGCTTATATTGATTATAAATGTTCAACCCATAGCTCAGGCTTGTTACTAACTAGCTCTTACACTTAAATTAATCCATTTCTATTAATCTATGTAGCCATGTGTCCTGTGGCTTTACCTGCCCTCTGGGTGGCTCACCGGCGCCTCTCTGATTCCACCTTCTTCCCATCATTCTCAGTTTGTCTTTCCGGTCTAACTTCCTGCCCAGCTAACGGGCTTTCCACTTTTTATTATTATACATATTCATAATGTAGAAAAAGATTGTTCCACAGCAAATAAAGGTTGGCATAATGGTCTACTCTCCCTACCAGTGTTTTCCTCCACAGTGGTCCTTTTGGTCATTGGTCATTCACCGATGTGAGTTTGTAATAAATATTGTATGTTTTGTGTTCTGTGGCTCCTGTGTGTTCATTGACTGGAAAATGGTAGCCAAAGGAAAATCCTGTAGCAAGGTATCTTCTTGTTCTGCTTTTGAGTAGTGCAGTCTGTGCATGCATGTGGGAGCCAATGTTAGAGTTAGATCAGGGTTAGGTGTCTTCCTCAATAGTTCTCCACCTCTCACTGAACCTAGAGCTCACCAATCTGGCTACACTGGCTGGCCACTGAGCGCCAGGGATCTGCCTGTCTGTACCCCCATGCACTGGAGTTATCAGATGTGGTGGCTTGTGCCACCAATGCTGGGCCCGAGCCTAGCTTTTACTTGGGTGTTAGGGGATCAGAATTCAAGTCCTCATGCTTTTGTGACAGGCTCTACTAACTGCCAGCTCACCAGCCC